TTATTTGAGGGAAAGTCACCGTCAGGGAGAGACAGAAGGGGTTTTTCTGTGATTGGAGACGGTGGAGTTGTGGAAAGCAGAGTCGGAAATATAGCCGAGGAAATTTCTGGAGACTGACTTGAATCTGGAAAGGGTTTTCACTGGAAGCCTTGACAGGATGTCCCGCATGATATCCCCTGGAATCTTGGCAATTGCCATTGTTTGTACCTGGCTTCAGCGTCTCTCTTGACTTTATTTATACCATGATGAAACCCATTACTCCTTTGAAGTCCATAACCAAGTCAATAACGAATTAGAAATTGTCAGAGTCCATAACGAATTAGAAATTGTCAGACTCCATAATGAATTAGAAATTGTCAGACTCCATAATGAATTAGAAATTGTCAGACTCCATAACGAATTAGAACTTTTTAGTAGGACGCGGTGAATTTAGTATTAACAAAAAAAAAGAAAAAAAGTTCTGGTATCTAGATTGCATTCAATTATACAATACTTATTATTAAATGAGATTAGTCCCCTGATATTGCTGCATCCAATAGCTCATGTTTTGCATTCTAGTACACTCTAGGTAGCAAAACAGAAAATTCTCAGTATAATAATAACAAAAACAAAAAAGGAGTTTTATGGTCTAAATTGCATCAAATTGGACAATTTAAACAATTACATGGATGCAGTGCAACTCTTTGATATTAGTAAACAATCACATTGACTTGAAAATGAAAGGTAGAAAACTAGAAAGGATGTGAAACAAATTTATCATTCTGAGACACCTTTAATCCCTAGGCCAACAGACAAAATCTTCTTGTTTTATGCTTTGACTTCCAGGCTCTCGATTGATTCCACCACTTTCTCTCTCATGAGTGAACCTAGGTTAGCTCTTGGTGAAGAAACTATTTCTGCTTCAATGACACTAAACAGATATTACCAATTCAAGTTATGTAATCATTCTGACAAGAAAGTGGGATCCTTCTTTCAGCCAGGTCAAGCAAAACAAGAAAACCTTGTGGCAAAACCAAAAAAATTTCCTCTAAACTGGTAAGGTCAGTAGATAGGAAAATGTTTAGTTTACCT